TATTATTAATGTAATCACTGCTCCAAAAAAGATATACAAGTCATCTCCATCCGTAAAAAGCTTCCAGTGGCATTCCAATCTAACAAGTTTAGCCAACCAATATTCCGTCTTGGGCAACACTTAATTTACAAAAATGGTTAATTAACGTTATAAACAATAAAAGTAGAAGAGCCGGAAGCAGATATTATTGATAATAGCACAGTAAAGTTCTAAGAAACAAAATCATAGGCATAAATTTTACTGATGTCGAATTATTATTCATTTTTATATCCCTCAGAACATATGATTGAAAGACGTGTACATACAAGATGCCGACTTGCGAGAGATTAATTGTCGTAACCGATAAATAAATTGCACTCAAAACTTTTAAGCAATGTTATTTGCTTCGACTAACTGATCGGACAATTAAACCTTGAAGTACACTATTTGTTGCTTTTCTGATGCAATTAAACATCTGGACTCGTGCATTTTAATTATAGTTGAAGTAAATGCATGATGAGGAATAACAATTTGCTATTTAGTTTGTTACTAAACTTTGCTTGGTTCGTTCAATGATTACAAGTATACTGTTTTCTGTCATCTGCTATCATAATCAATATTTCTGCGCCCATTGTACATTCAGAATGCTTAGATTTCTTGTCGTCACGTCTTAATGAGTTTCAACAAACATATGATTAATAAATAAGTGAATGACATCACGGGTAATGGCGATTAAGGAAGTATGCTAATATGTTTTTAACAAGATTTTTTATTTTACTTAGTTTGTCTTTAAATTACTGGACACGTTCTGATATAGAAAATTTAAAATCACAACTGAATGAGCTCCATTAAACATTATATATTCTTTTTTGTACTCATGCGTATAGAGATAAATAGAGGATATTGAATGAGTCTAAGTTCAATACTGAATTTATTGCACGAGTTGAATAAAATTATAGCCTCTGGCGAGCATTATATCATTTTATTCAACGAGTGCAATAAATTCAGTAATGAACTTACACGAATTTAATATTCTATTTATCACATACCCAAAATAAAGACCGTTTAAAGTGAAATAAGTGTCATTTTTTATTGACGCACCTACAGTATAACGCTAACATTTAGCGCGTCTTTACGCTATGTTTGTTTAACGCTAATGACGTCACGTCAAAACATATGCACGGCCGTGCAATACCATATTTACGGAGTCGCAAAATCGGCACGGTTGTGTGATAAAGCGTTGTATTAAACAACAATACAGCATTTTACTCGAATATTTAACACTAAGGTATTATATTATTTTTATCAAAGATATAAACGAATCAAATTTTAAGCGGGTCACTTGGTTTTCAACTACTAGTACAGTAAGTGGTTTCTGTAATTTATGTTTCTTGTTCCGCCTTTCTTCGTTTATACTATTGATGTGAATTTTCATAACAAGACATTCTTTGCAGATTCAGTATCAGTAGTATCAGTTTGAAAAATAATTTGGATGGCAGATGCTAGCAAAGAGTGTGTTATGCATGAAGTAACGAAAGACTGGCAAGACGGAAAGAATCTAGGACAATGCATGTTGGAAATGTTTCAACAGGGTCTCTGGACAGACGTCGTATTTCAATGTATGGGCCATGATAAAGGAGAGGGAGTGATTAAAGCACACAAAAATGTGCTTGCATCTAGAAGTTCCGTATTTCAGGCGATGTTCTTTGGTCCCTGTGCTGACACAACAGATGTAGTAGAGCTTAAAGATAAAGAGAAAGAAATTCTACATTTATTCCTTGTGTAAGAACTTTTTATTTTTCTTCCTTGTGTAAGAACTTCTTGTTTTGTTTTTCTTTGTGTGAGAACTTCCTAATTTTCTTCTTCGTGTAAGAACTTCTTATTTTTTTTCTTCCTTGTGTAAGAACTTCCATTTTCTTCCTTGTGTAAGAAATTTTTTCTATGTGTAAGAACTTTTTTTTCCTTTTCATAGGATGATTGTCCATATTGGGTCAAAGACCCCTATTGATTTTGGGGTCAAAAGGTTCAAAGTCACTATTACCTTAAAACTGAAAACAGTTTTTTGGAGCATAACTTAATTTCCATTTGACCCACAATATTCAAACTTCATAGGATGATTGTCCATATTGGGTAGAAGACACCTATTGATTTTGAAGTCACTAGGTCAAAGGTCAAGGTAACAATTACCTTAAAACCAAAAACCAGTTTCCAGAGCATAACTTAAGTTCAATTTGGCCCACAATATTCCAACTTCATAGGATGATTGTCCATATTGGGTAGAAGATCCCTATTAATTTTTGGGTCACAAGGTCAAAGGTCAAAGTCACTTTTACCTTTATACTGAACACAGTTTCTAGAGCATAACTTAAGTTCCATTTGGCCCACAATATTCAAAATTCATAGGATGATTGTGCACATTGGGTAGAAGACTGCTATTGATTTTGGGGTTTCAAGGTCAAAGGTCAAGGTCACTATTTCCTTAATACTGAAAACAGTTTCTGGAGCATAACTAAAGTCCATTTGACCTACAATATTCAAACTTCTTAGGATTATTGTGCATATTGTGTAGAAGACCGCTATTGATTTTGGGGTCACAACGTCAAAGGTTAAGGCCACTATTACCTTAAAACTGAAAACAGTTTCCGCTCAATAACTTCAGTTTTAATCAACCTACAGCTGTTAAATTTTATAGGATGAACAGCTAATTTCCATGTCTTACAAATGCTTCCTTCTTACTTAATAAAAACACTTTCGGGCATATTATGCTCCGCCTAGCGGTGCTCTTGTTTCCTTGTCTTACTTGTGTTAGAACGTTTTATTTTTCTTTCATGTCTAAGAACTTTTTTTTCTTCCTTGCGTAAGAACTACTTATTTTTCTTCCTTCTGTACAAACTTTTTTCCTTGTGAAAGTTCAACTTCGTTTATGTTTTTCCTTGCGTAACAACATCTTATTTTTCTTCCTTGTGTAAGAACTTCTTTTTTGTTCTTCCTTGTGTAAGAACATCTTAATTTTCTTCTTTGTGTAAGAATGGGTAAGAACTTGTTTTTTCTTGAGTAAGAAAATATCATTTTTTTCTTCCTTGTGTAAGAAAACCTTATTTTTCTTCCTTGTGTAAGAACCTAAATATTTTTGTCAGTTTTTTGTTATTGCTGTTGTTGTTTAAGATCACAATATTATAATCATTTTTTTTAAATGTATTATTCTATATAGTCTGTGAATGTTTTGATATTGTTTTAAACTCCATACTTTGGTGCCAAGTTAATAATGAATGTTTTAAAAAAATAACAACATTAACATAATATGTTTGTAAATCAGTCTCATTTTGTTTAACAGGTACATATACAGTGACTCGATTACGTTAACAGAAGGTACTGCTTCTGCAATTTTGGAAATGGCTCATTATTACCAGGTGACAAATCTTGTTCAGTTATGTTCAGAGTTTTTAAAAACTGTATTAACAGCAAGTAATGTATGTGAAACTCTGACGTTAGCAATGTTTTACAACCTGTATGGCCTGAGAGACGCATGTTGTTCCTTCATTGATAGTCATGCACAAGACGTTATACAAACGGAAAGTTTCATGAACATATCTGAAGATTGTCTCTTATATATTCTTAAAGGGGATACACTTTATGTTGAGGAAGAATACATTTTAGAAGCAGTGGAAAGCTGGGCACGCAGAAAATTGGAAGAGAAAGATGTGGCAGCAGTGAGCGGTACAGATATACGTAAACGTATTGGAGAATCGTTTTACTTTTTGAGACTGCCCACAATGTCTTCTCAAACGTTGCGCGAGTCAGTAAGCAGAAAGGGATATTTTTCTGTTGAAGAATATGCAGATATTGCGGCATATGTCAACAAGGCCGCAAAAATACCCGTGACTACCAACTCGTGCATAGCAAGGGTGCCAGAACTTGAAACAGTGAATATAAATAAGCAAGATGGAGAAACAATATACTCCAAATATCTTCATATTTCCTTTGAAATTACTATGCTTAAGAGTGCATTCTTGTCTCGCCTTGTCCTCGGTGAAATCAATCCGTATTTGGTAAACACACAAGAAATCTATATTAATGCAGCAGATAAAATAGAACATTTTGTTGGGGAAGTCCGTCACGGCGATTCACAGCCCGAGACAATTAGGTACGATTTCTTTCGGAAGCAAGTCGTGAATATTTCTACCCTCGAACGTCCAAGATTTCGGAATTACTACGCTAAAGAGATGAATAAAATAGCTCGGTTCAAACTCCCGGTGAATTTATGCCTTTTCCTTTCGGGAAGTATCAGTGTTAATGACATTGGCGTTGAAGAGGAATTTAAAGTGCAGCAATTTAATGCAACAGATACTGAAGTCAATCTAACAAAACCTTTATTTTTAGAGAAAAGGAGCGCTCCGTATATTGTAAATATCAGCATCAGATACAGCTGTAGTAGTGAATTAGAACTTGAAGCCAGATGCAGTGCAAACAAGGAACTTGTTACTAGTGACACAGGAATGATTCGCATTCAACGTGTATCTACATATGATTCAGGAATCAAAGGTATCGGGTTTAAACACGTCTCCAGCCGTGATAAATCAAATCATCAACCCGTACCTGAAACGGATGAAGAGAATGTAATATAGATGATACATGCAAAAAAAGCAATGAGCCAAGAAAGCCCTCGAATAAAATCATACATTATATCAATGAGGAGTTTGTACAGAGAATTATTTAATATTTTTCTGTTTCATTTTAATATTTGATATGTATGTAGTGTTTGAATATGCACAGTGTAATACTAACTGTTTTAGTCTATTGAAGTATTATCAATATAGTAACAATTTTAGGCTAGTAAAGTCTGTTGAATACTCTCTTATTGTGAAGGTTTAGCGCCATATTAAATCAGTAAAAAGTAACAGCGACATTCTAGTTTTTCCTTAATAAAATATAAGAACCCAACACAATAGTGGCGACGAGGATCTTTGGAAAACAATTGTCGGTTATAAACTGTTTAATTTACTGAATATTTGAGCAGCAGAATGGCAGTATTCGGGAAAATTGACGAGTTTAACCTGTATGGTGAAAACTGGGACGAATACGATGAAAGGTTGTCTCACTATTTTATCGCGAATAAGATAGACGATGCGGCAATTAAAAGATCTATTCTGTTGTCGGTGGTAGGATCCAAGACCTACAGTTTAATTAGAAATCTTTCCTCACCAGCTAAACCTGGAGAAAAATCGTTTGATGAACTCAGAACATTGATCAAGGATCATTTAAAGCCTAAGCCTCTCATCATTGCAGAAAGGTTTAAATTTCATCAAAGGAAGCAGGGCGAGGGGGAAGGTGTGAGTCAATACTTAGCTGAATTGAGAAGGTTAAGTGAGAACTGTGAATTTAAAGACTTTCTTGATGATGCACTTAGAGATCGTTTTGTTTGTGGTCTAGCAACACCTTCGATCCAGAAGAAGCTGCTGTCAGAAGATAAGTTAACACTTAAGAAAGCTTTAGAAATTGCAGTGTCGATGGAAATGGCTGCAAAAGAAACTGTGAAACTTAAAAACGGTCCTGAGATTGAGGTTAAACATAGTGCAAATAAACTCACAACCAACAAAAAAGAATGTTTTCGATGTGGTAAAAGTAACCATGAGCCAGATGTTTGTTTTCATAGGAAAAGTCAGTGTAATTCCTGTAAACAGTATGGACACTTAGGTAAATGTTGCCCTCAAAAACATGTAAAATCTGATCAAAAGTCGGTACAACGTAGTACATCAAAGCCAGAGCATTCAGGTAGATCCAGACAGAAATTCAAAAAGAATAAATCAAGAGTGCAGTATGTTGAAAATGCTGAATCTAGTTCATCTGAATCTGATGAAAAAGATGAAGATTGGCCATTATTTACAATGAAATCACCAAAACAGAAGGAAATAATTGTACATGTCAACATTGAAGGTTATTCTCAGAAGATGGAACTTGATACTGGTGCTTCAGTTTCAATATTGTCAGAGACTGATTATAAAGGACATTTCAGTAACATAGCTCTTAGACCTAGTTCAGTGATTTTGAAAACATATACGAATGAAACTGTTCAAATTTTGGGTGAAATTGATGTAAATGTCTGTTATGGAAGTCAGGAAGCTAAGTTGCCTTTAGTGGTTGTGAAAGGTTCCGGACCAGCATTATTTGGTAGGAATTGGTTATCAGCATTAACTTTAGACTGGGAAAAAATTAAATTCACATCTTTGGATAAAGGACAGTCTTCAGTGAATGAATTATTGAAAAGGTTTCCAAATGTTTTTGACAATAAAACTGGTGTAATGAAAGGAGTTACTGTGAAATTGTCTGTGAAGGATGGTAGCAAGCCTGTATTTTATAAGCCAAGGACAGTACCTTATGCTCTTCGTGACAAGGTAGCACAAGAACTTGATCGTCTGGTAAAGGAGGGAATTGTAGAAAAGGTTTCGTATTCGGATTGGGCTACGCCAATAGTTGCTATTCAGAAACCTAACAAAACTGTAAGAATTTGTGGAGACTACAAGGTTACCTTGAATCCAGTTTTGGATGTTCCAGAATATCCTTTACCAACATCAGATGATGTGTTCCAAAAATTGAATGGTGGTAAAAAATTCACTAAATTGGACTTGTCGCATGCTTATCAACAGGTGTTACTTGATGAGTCATCAAGAAAATATGTAACTATAAATACTCACCTAGGGTTATTTCGTTACTTACGTTTGCCATTTGGGGTTGCTTCAGCGCCAGCGTTGTTTCAGGAAACCATGGATAAAATTTTGAATGGATTGGAACATGTTGGATGCATTTTGGATGATATTATCATCACTGGAGTAGATGATGATGATCACTTGAAAAACTTGGAAGTTGTATTACAACGATTGAATGACATGAACATTAAGTTAAATGCTTCAAAATGTTACTTCATGCAAGATGAAGTTGAATATTTCGCTTTCCGAGTAACAAAGGAGGGAATAAGACCTTCTGAACGGAAAATTGATGCCGTCTTACAACTTCCTGATCCTAATAACCGAAAAGAACTTCAACAATGGCTTGGATTAGTAAATTATTACCGCCGATTCATTCCAAATATGTCAACTATTGTACAGCCGCTTACAGAATTATTGAATAATGGTGTTAAGTGGAATTGGACAGAATCGTGCAAAGAAGCATGTGAAACTGTTAAGCAATTGTTGACGTCATCCACAGTCCTTGTACATTATCATCCGGAGAAAGCAGTCACATTAGCTGTAGACGCGTCGCCGTATGGACTAGCCGCTGTTATTTCGCATGAAATGGAGAACGGCTCAGATAGACCTATAGCGTATGCATCAAGAACACTAACTGCATCTGAGAGAAATTACTCTCAACTTGAAAAAGAAGCATTAGCCATAATATTCGGTATTCAGAAATTTCATCAGTTCTTGTATGCGCGTAAATTCACTTTGTTGACGGACAATAAACCTTTAAGTCTAATACTAGGACCTAAGAAAGGCATACCAGTTCTAGCCGCGTCAAGATTACAAAGATGGGCAATCCAGTTGTCGGCTTATCAGTATGATATCAGATATCGATCAACAACGAAGAATGGAAATGCTGATACATTGTCACGTTTTCCGCTACCTGAGATTACTGAGGAGTCGAACAATGTGTTGTTTGTGGAAGGCAGCGAAGTAAACAAGGAACAAGTGAATTCTCTTCCAGTTACACCCGATAAAATTGCCAAAGCTTCGCGAAATGATCCGGTGTTATCAAGGTTGATACATTTTACAATAAACGGTTGGCCTGTCAAATCTGAATTAAGTGAAGAATACTTACAATATTATAAGTTTAGAGATGAATTTACCACTGAAGAAAGTTGTTTATTAAGAGGAATACGAGTTGTAATTCCACGTACGTTGCAAGAAAGGATGTTAGAAGAATTACATGAAAATCATCCTGGAATTGTTAAGATGAGATCTTTAGCAAGAATGCATATGTGGTGGTTGAATATAGAAACTGACTTAGAAAGTAAGGTAAAAAGCTGTATTCCTTGTCAGCAGAATAGAAGACCGATGGCTAAAGCACCGCCTAATCCTTGGAGATGGCCAAGTAAACCCTGGCAGCGTATTCATATTGACTATGCTGGGCCATTCATGAATCAAATGTTTTTAATTGTTGTTGATGCCCACTCGAAATGGATGGAAGTTCTCAAAATGGCTTCTACAACTACTGAAAGTACTGTTAATGCATTAAGATATTTGTTTTCAGCCTACGGGATAGTGGAGGAGATAGTATCTGACAATGGTCCACAATTTGTCTCTGAAGAATTCCAGAAATTTGTTAAATTAAATGGAATAAATCATATTCGTTCAGCAGCTTATCATCCGAGTTCAAACGGGGAGGCTGAAAGAGCTGTCCAAACTTTTAAAACAACTATGAAAACTATGAATAATGAACCTGGAACTTTGAATCAAAAGATGGCGAGATTTTTGTTATCATATCGTTCCACTCCGCACTCTACGACACAAGTTTCTCCAGCAGAATTATTTCTTGGACGACAAATTCGAACACGTCTAGATATCATGCGTCCAAACTTAAGTAACAAGATTCAAAAGAATACTACTCCAAAAGAATCTAAAGTTCGCATATTTCAAGAAGGCGATAGTGTTTGGATTCGCGACTACAGAAAATCGGTTGAAAAGTGGGTTGGTGGAATCATAGTTCATCAACTTGGTCCTGTAACTTACCAAGTTAAAGTGGGTGATCTAATTTGGAAACGCCATGTTGACCAAATTCGTGAACGCGAAACTGATATTCCTGTAAACGAAAGCAATACCAGTATACCTATAACAATGCACGTACCATTTGATTCAACTCAGTCAAACCAGGTACAAGACAATTTACCAAATTCTACAGTAGAATCAGCAACAGAAGCGTGTGTTCAAACCCCAGTTCAAGCAGAATCACATGAAAACTCAAAGACAGCAAGTCCAGCAATGAAACCATTACCAAAACGTTCAACTAGAGGAATTCCACCAAAGAAATTAGATTTGTGATTTAAATAGTACATGTATATGGCATGCACGTGTGTAAGGGCATAATAATCCCTGTGCTACCATGGAGAACAAAGTTCTCTTATATTCTAGTTATATGTTTTAGTTAAAATGTTTGTTTCTTTTTAGTTACAGTAACTGATAAACAATATTCTTAAAATTTTGAATATAAAAAGAAACAGTTGACAGTTTGATGTTACAGTATAAACTTTAATCAGTTTCATGGATTATTATTATCCATAGTAAATAAAAGCTAGACTTTTTATTATTTTTTTCTAAAAGGGGGAAAAGTGTAGTGTTTGAATATGCACAGTGTAATACTAACTGTTTTAGTCTATTGAAGTATTATCAATATAGTAACAATTTTAGGCTAGTAAAGTCTGTTGAATACTCTCTTATTGTGAAGGTTTAGCGCCATATTAAATCAGTAAAAAGTAACAGCGACATTCTAGTTTTTCCTTAATAAAATATAAGAACCCAACACAACAATGTACATAATGTAGATGTGTATAAAGTAAAATGTATTTATTTTATGATATTAATTTTGTTGACTTCAAATTCGATCAGTTTCTCGTTTATCAGTACTGACATACTTTGATGTAAAATAGGCTCAACGTCAATTTCATCATTTGAACAATGCCAATATTGTGCTCCAGGAAGTATAAAGACTTTTCAGTAACCGAGGGCTCAATTTTCTTTACAAATGTAGTATATCAGTCTTAATATGCACAAAAAGACAGAAAAACATTTAAAAAAACCTTTATTAATGGCCGATTCCATTCGAGCAGCATTATATAATATTTTAGATAAAATGTGTCAGTCAAATTTAACAGATAACTCGGCACTTCATATGACCTTTGTTAGATAGATATACGATACTTGTGATTTGAGAGAATGAAATCCTTGGTGCTATCGTTACTTTTCACTGTTACATACATTTCGACAGGTAATCAATTACTTTATTTTCTACAGGGAGATAACGTACGGGACACTAAAATGTTGTAACATTAAGGGAAGGAATGATTTAAGGTCAGTTATTTTAAGTTGCATGCTCGGGTTGGTGGAATCTGTTTATAAAGCAAACTGCTGTCCCTGTTCCCTTCAATCAGTATAAAGCTACAATCTCACTAACATCCCGGCAGAGCCCCGGTAGACGTCCGGGGTGATCTGGGAACGACCGGGGTACGACCAGGAACAACCAGAGTACATCCGTAACTCTGCCGGCAACGTCTGGGATGATCCGGGAACATCCGGCATTCGACCCCCAGATGGAATAGAATATTTTAATATCACCGGGGTGGTCTTGGATGATCCGGGAAGTATAGCTTTGCCGACTTCATCCTTAGCTCTGCCGGGGGAACGACCGGGGTTACACCGGACAAGCACCGTTGCTCTGCCGGCACAAACCGGCGATGATCCGGGGTATGATATAGCGGTACAGCTTCTGTAAGGCCCCGGTTAATGCCGGCAGAGCCCCTGTGAGTGTCGGAGAGCCCCAAAGGATGCCGGCAGAGCCATGGACGATGGCGATGGAGCTACGGTTGATTCCGGTAGAGCCCCGCAAAGCCCGGTTTATTTTAAAAAAAATCACAACAATTTGCATTGATTTCAATTGTTTTTATTAAAAACCCTCCCCCCCATTTCCCTTCTGTCCAGTCTTGCATAAGGATTAATCAGAAAACATCATGAATAACTGTTCTTGAACAAAATATATTATATTAAATCAACGTTATCATTTTCGCGCGTTTTCAATCCATCGGGGTTCTACCCGGAGCTTTGCCGGGATCGTTCTAGGCTTTGCCGGGGCTCTGCCTGGATCGACCAGGGGCTCTGCCTGTGTCAACCGGGGCTCTGCGGTGTCATCGTAGCTTCACCTGGGCTCTGTCTGGATTGTCCGGAGCGCATCCTAGGTCGTAAGTTGGGATAACCGTAGTGCTGCGGGGTAAGTGTGACCGCAACAATAATTTCACCCCAGATAATTTCATCCCAGTAACTTACCGGGGGGGGGGGGTCCTGGGCTCTGCCGGGATTGAGACCGCAACTTTAAGCTTAAACAGAATTCAACATAAGAATTGGAATAAAATGAATCAATTAATACATAATCATAAACTCTGACTGTGAAACTTATGTGTGGAGTTTTGTCCCTTGTAAAAGTACCTGTTAACAGTTAAAGCCTATAAATTAAGAGGCCATAAGGGAATCAAAGCAGCGATCATCTCCGGCTTAAAATCATAAAAAAATTCTGACTAAAGCTTGAACTCTTTTTGCATCTGCGTTTTATATATCCTCGCTCAACTTGCAGACCTACAATTCTTTGATACAGGTATTCAAAAATATGGTAAAGCTTGAAAACTCTGACGTAGAAAATAAAATATATCTGCCATGCAAAGAAGTCACTCTGGTACGAGCCCCTAAGGTGACATTTTCCACACTTTTTTCACTTTAGGGGCTCCGTAAATATATGCTACATTCATCATTATGTTTTCTTTTGTGACTTAAAGAAAATGAGTAGCTGTATGTTAATAGTTAATTAAGATATATGTCAATCATTATTTTGATTACAACCTTTACGCTGTCCTTAAAATGGATATAACAATATTGCTGCATTGTCCTTCCGTCAATTCCCCAATAGTATTCTTTTCATCCACATTTTTAGGCAATGCAGTTTAAAAAAAAAGTTGTTTTTTAAATGTTAATAGATGAATGTTAACGCAAATTTGTTTCTGTCAGTTGCGTGCGCATGTCAATCGGGGTGGACAGGATTCCGTGATTCATGCTACCAATTTAATGTTGACAATAAACAGAGCTGGAACGATGCTAAAGTAAGTGTGTTGCGATTGAAACTCAGCTGATTCTTTTGCTTTTTTTATACAAATTATTCTTGTAATAAAGAAACAAATGTTAACAGTAATGCTTGGCTGAAATTGTTGTTTACAACGTGAACCAATAAGAGTTGCATTTATGATTTTACAAGCGACTGACGGGTTTATGATAATAATAGCACGTTCATAACTTAAAACACGTCTTGAATAATCAAAAAACAATATATAGGGGAACATTAATGTTTGATTAAAAGAACACATACAGTTATACATGTAGGCCTAATTGTGTTTAGGTAAACACATTGTGTTTATATTTAACAGAATGCTTGCCATAAAGAACATGCTACTCTAGTCGCCATAGAAACACAAGAAGAAAGTGATTTCATTGCGGATCATCTCAAAACCTTGATTTCTTCTTCAGGTAATTTGTAAAGTCAATCACAAACCGTACTTTACTATAATAAAGGTGCAAGTCTTTTAGTACAGTTCTAAATGACGGAAATGACAATCACAACAGAAACTAGCGGTTAACAGTCTACATGTGTACCCATATGAATTACTTCTTGATCTTTCAGACCTAAGTCATTATACACATTGAACGATGTGTTGTACCATTGTGAAAGAACAACGTTGAAACGTTTACAAATTAATACAAACTAGCCCTTATTCCTGTATACTTTT